GGTAGATGTTGGTACCTCGCAGGTGGGACGCGTGGGTGGCCAGACGGCGCAAGGCTCGCAGTCGTCGATGACCCTGGATGTGCAAAATGTTGCCAAAGAACGATGCTTCGTCATCTTCTGAGAGGAGGACATGCAGATCGCCTACGGGAGTCCAGTCTGAATGTGTCTTGACCAGATGTTCCAGGACGGCAAGATATTCGACCCGCACAAGCTCCGAATTCTCCCGCATGCCATTCTGAATCCCTGGTAGGACTGCAGCTGATACGAATACCTTGAACTGTTCGCTCGACGCGACCTCGCTGAAACGACGTAGAGATAATGAGGCATTGACTCGAATGCTGAGCTCGTCGTTGTCCTTGATGAGATACAGCATGTTGTAGACTAGAGGCTTCCACTGTGTGAGTGTGTATGATCGATAACTTTCTTCGTTTATGGCATTGAAAGCTTGCGAGCGGCGTTCAAAGTCTGGTTCATCGAGACGTCCAGTAGCGAATGAATTTAGATCATGGCACAGCTTTGCGATTACTGTGAGATCGCTGTTGGTGTCGGAGAGATCCTGGAGAACATCGCAAAGCAAGCTTCGGGCTGTTCGATCCTGAACGAAACTGAACATAGGAGAGATGGCATCGTAGGTTGTGTCAAAGAGCTCAACCAAACTCTGGCTATCACATCGCTGGATAAATTCATGAAGGATCTTGAGTAAGCCAAGCTTAGTACGTGGGTTGACGCGCTTTGAAGGCTGGCGAAGCAAGAAAGTTGCGATTTCGATCATGCTTCGGGATTCCGTGGCACCGACTACATGAGGCGCTAGGTCTGCCACCGTTTGTACACCGGCTTCGAGCACTTCTTTACCGGGGCTTTGGCGAAGTAGTTGGCCAACTCGGTGGAGTATCGCAGTTGAGTATGGCTGGATGATATCGGTATGGATACGATTCCTGAGGAGTTTCGACTCTGTCGTCGGTGTCTCATCTTCTTCGGTGACAAGAGAAACGATGCTTCGAACGATGTCGTTCAAGACAAAGCACTTGACCTCGTCCTTAGCCGATGGTACCTCCAGGCAGTCGATGATCTTGTGCAGAATGGCAGGGTTGAGTTCTACCAAGAACGGAGCTGTCCGGCTTGATCTAGACCATGCCGCGAACAATCGGAGTAGACCTGAGACGGACTGGGCTGTCTCAATGGGCAGCTGCTCGAGCCTGGGCTCGACCATCTCCTTGACTAGAACACCTGCGTACGGTTTCCAGTCAAAGTCCGGACAGTTTTCAAACAGCCTACCCAGAATCTGCAGCGCCCGCTGCCGGATAGTCTTCAGTAAGGAGGTCTTTGTCGCTCGACCTTCGTCATCTTCGCTTTCGTTTGGTCTTGACAGTTCTCGCGATGCCTTGATGGCTGAGTATAGAATGGGATCCACGACGATTCCGGCAAAGGGCGCGAATGTAGTTGCAAACGTACTCAGCAAGTCATCAAGTAGGTTCAACATTCCCACCTGCTTTCGCGGGTCTACCAGCTCTTTCTGCAGCAGCTCTTCATCGACCGCGGAGTCTTTGAGAATTGAGATGCGACCTAAAGGCCCGAACGCGATTTGCAAGAATTGGCGTATAGCGTCATCTCCGAATCTGGTCTTCAGGCCGACGAAAACGGCCTTCCTCTTCGACTCCAGACCCCGCTTGCCAGCTATGACTTTTCCGTATAAGAGTCGCAGAACAATCGGAAGTACTTGATCGACGTCGGTATCCTGCAGCTTTCCTTCGCTGAGGAAGATTGGTAGCTCGTCACGGAATCGCTCATCATCAAGCAAATTGAGCAGTTGTTCTTGGTGTTTGACAATGACTGGATCTTTCCACGTGAGAAGTGCCTTCAGAGCGGCTTTCTGGATCTCGATGTCTCCGTTTCCTAGTAAAGCAAGCAGAGCTTCGCGAACCTCGTCCGTACGGTACAGGACCTTGGGGTTATTGAACTTGGCGAAGATTGAGAGCATTGCTTTCTGGTCTTTCCTTGACCAGCGATCCTGCAGAATGGCATCCGTATCTTGTTCGGGATTGGGCGCATCTTCAGGCTCCGGTGTGGCCTGGTTCAGTGCCCAGTTTAGCAGCACGGGGACAAGAAGGCGAGAACGCTTCTCCGCGATGTGTGGCAGGGAATCCAATACTCGGAGAGCTTGTGTCCTGCTGAAAGGATTGTGGAAAGGTACTTCGGCATGGTTGTCCTTGAATAAAGTCTCCAGCTGTTCCTCAGTACTGTCAGCCTGTGACTGTACATTGGCCACACGCTCTTGCAGCTCCATGAGGTTGGTGCACTCGAAGTCTGTGGCGTAGGGTCGCTGTGTGGATTCCGGTTGAGATGCGTTCGTGAAACTTTCGCTGGCATCGGAAGCACTCAGCCATTCAAAAACATGTTGGGTGACGAAGCCCTCGCCCTCTTTTGTCTGGCAAATGGCCTTCAAAGCTGCGCAACTGTCGTTCCAGACCGAAGCTAGTTTGACGTGTAGCAATCCTAGACAGAAAGCGGGTATGGCCTCCCCTATCCATTCATTAGAACATACACCTGGGTACAGTTTCGCGATTTGCCCTATGCGCATCGCAATGGATCTCTGAGTCTCTAGATTCAGTGGTGTCTGCTCGATCAGCATCGCGGTATGCAGTATGTCCTGATGTTCCTGGCTCTGCCCTGCAATGATCTGCAAGACTTGTATGGCTGTGAATCTTAGGTCATGTGATGGAGACCCCAAGCAGCGCATTAGTGTTCGCTTGAGAGGTTCCATGTGAGAGCCGGTAATGTCGACTTTGGTCTGTTCCCGCTCCAATAAGCGCAGGAACGCGCGCCAGAAAGCTAGAGAATGGCCATATACAGGAGATACTTGACACAACGCAGGCCATAAACTTGTCGTCAAGTCATCACTGTCGCCTTTACTGATGAGGGCCTGAAACCCGTTGCCGGTGGCAAATATGTCTACAGTTTGTCGGGGCTTTGCGCTGTCGGTGTCCAAGGCGTTCTTGAGTAGCTCTGCAAGGTCGGTCATTATTCCGTGGGTCTTATCGTTTCCTAGACGCAGCGTATCTACAGCGAATAGCAAAGCATTGCAGTAAAATGTTTCGTAATCTGAATCGACATCGCCGCGTACAGACTCAAGAAGCTTGTCGAACGGTTCGTGTACGGTCACTTGCCATTGATCAGAAGCCTGTAGATCGACTTTCGCCAGCGCGCTGTTGTCGTTGTTGTCGCGCTTGTAGTAAAGTCGAGGGAGAATAGCGCAAAATTGTGATCCGTGCTCGTGTGCCTTCTGCGCGATGAACCTCTTGAAATAAGGGAGTAGCAACGCCCTGAATCTCTCCACCCCTAGGTCAGCAAAGAGATTGCAGAAGGGTAAAAAGTATGGCTCCCAGGGGCCATGGGTAAGCCCTTCGAGCAATCTTTTGTATGGTGTCGCTGCGCCAAGAGGACAGTATTGGAACACAACAGAGATGACCGACAAGAGCTCCCACGCATCAACGGAATCGAGTGTAGATAATTCCTTGGTTGAGTCCAGTACATGACTGACCAAGCTCAGCACGGATTGCCAGTCATCGACACGATCACCTTGTCGCACACCACAAGCGACTAGCAGCAGACGAGACGAAAGGCCCATGTAACGCGTGTCGGAAGATGTCTTGTCGATCTGTGCCAGGATCACTTCGAGGAGGGGCGCGAAGTTTTCTGCGTCGGTATGATGGATGGCAGCGGTGATGACGCCAGTCACCACGGGCTCCAGAGGCGGAATTCGGAGTTGGACGTGCTCTTCGTTGTATGTCTCTGCTAGAAGCTCCTGTAGTATGGCCGTCGCGTTCGAGTGGAATCCGCGTTGTACACCCTTGAGCGAGTCGGTCAAGAGGTACATGAGACCCTGCTGGAACGCGTAGTCCTTGCCCGATTCTTGCTGGTCCTTCAGCTGGTCCGATATGTGCTTGATGATTGTCCTGAGGGGCATCTTGTCTCGGTGGTAGCCAGCGCCGGCTTTGCGAACGAGGAAGCTGAGCGATTCGGCAGCGAAACGGGAGACGAAGGCTTTCTGGCGTTCTTTGCCCAGCAGAGGCGACATGAGATCGAAGACCGGGCGCAGGTTGGGGACTAATAGGCGCGAGAGGTACTTGAACAGCCATGCGAGACATCCAAAAGCCCACTCTATGACCTCAACATCAGCATGTGTGGCTGCCAGATGCGACACCGTCGTGACTGCCTTTTCAAAGTACTTCTCGAACCGCTCGCCCATGTCGTGTGCCAGATGCGCCGTGAGACTGAGTAGTGGTTCCTGACTGAACTTCTCGCCCTTCTCGATGTATTCTACGAGCAGCTCGAATATGCGGTCGCTGTGGTGGAGGACCTGCGGGAGGCTGTCGCATAGTGGCGCGACCTTGCGGGCGAAGGTGGTGAAGCCCTCGGACATGTTGAGCTCCCGCCACTCATTGAACGCGTCGCGGAAGTAGGAGAAGGTGGATTCGAGTTCGGCATCGTCGAGGAAGGTGCTGCGACCGCGGCGGATGGGTTCGATCTTGAGCTGGGCTATGCGCTGGGTGAAGCCTTTGAAGACATGGTTGCGAGTCGATTCGGTGCCGCCCTTGACTCGTTTCTGGGGGCGCGCTGATTTGGCGACCTTGGATTTGGGCTTTGCAGCCGGCTTCGCGGTTTGGCCTCTCGACATGGCGGCCATGGTGTGGTGGAGTGGTGTGAGGGCTGGCGTGGTTGCACCTTCTTCACTCGATGATGCTCCACTAGAATTTCCTGGCGCTAACAAAAAAGCTGGACCCTGGCACCACCGAGGCCTCCGACGCGCCAATCACCCATACTCAACACCACGCGTCGCCAACATCAACCTACTGTATCGAAACAATCGCCACAGGCTACAGCAGCTATAGGAGATTACGCGACTATACTAAGCTTGTCAAGTAGCGAAAGTGCGCCTTCGATCGTCGCTACTTCTAGCACCACATCGACAACCAGCTGCCTTTGTAGCTGCGTCATCAGCAATGGCCTCTAAAATGTAAGTGAATTGCGCCATCATAATATTTGACTGTTCTAACATGTGCAGTGTTGTCGTTGGCGCCGTGAACGGCCAATTTAAGACTGTCTTCCAGAAGTTGGGCGCTTTACACGCGAAGAACAACTTCGCCTTCGCCATTGTCGCAGGCGATCTCTTCGCAGGGTCAGCCGAAGCTGAGGGCACCGACGCAGCCGATGTGCAGTCGCTCATTGATGGCAACATCGACATACCATTGCCGACGTACTTTGCTCTTGGCAACCATCCCCTCCCACCAGCAGTCGTCCAGAAGTTGGAATCATCAAATGACGAGCTATGCCACAATCTCTTCTTCCTCGGCAAGCGGACGACTATGAAGACATCGGAAGGCATTCGCATCGTCTCCCTAGGTGGACAGCTTGACCCTAACATTGTCGCTGGCCAATCTAAAGACAAGTACCCGCCCTTCTACAGCGAGACGGATGCGAAGGTATTACGAGGTGCAACCACAGCAGATATTCTCATCACCAACGAGTGGCCGGAGAGCATTCAGAAGCGTTCCAAAGTCGAGTTCAATCCTGAAGTAAAACCGACAGCGCAACAGTGTATCGCCGACCTGGATGTAATACTCAAGCCCAAATACCACTTCTCCACATCGGGTAGCAACTTCTACGAGCGCGAACCATTCTTCCATGCGCCTAGCGACGAAACCGACAACCTCTACCCGGTGACCCGATTTATCAGTCTGGCTTCGTTTGGCAACCCAAACAAGCAGAAATGGATATACGCCTTCTCTCTCGAGCCATCGGCCAGCCATCCAGTCTCACCGCCAGCTGGCTCTACTGCTTGCCCTGTGACACTCTTAGAGAAGAAGCGAGTTGCGCCAGAGCACCGCGAACAGCATCTCGTCTATGATGATGGGAATCGCGGCCGAAGAGGCAACAAGAGGCGTAAGGATGAATCCCGAGGACCCATTACAGCATCAGAGTGTTTCTTCTGTCTGGCAAACGAGAACATCGCGACACATTTGGTGACTTCGATCGGCGAGAACTCTTACCTGACCACGGCCAAAGGTCCCCTGCCAACATCGCAGACATATCCGAAACTTGGCTTCCCCAGCCACATGCTCATCATCCCCTTCACACATCAGCCAACGCTTGGCTCTATGGAAGAGGAGGAACGACACGCAACCTACGCAGAGATGCAACGCTATCGACGCGCCATGAACAGCATGCTTAAATCTGTCGCGGATACCGAATATGGCTCCGTCACGTGGGAAGCCAGTAAATCGAGTTTACCACACACTCATTGGCAGTATCTCCCAGTCAGCGCGGATCTCATAAGCAAAGGGCTTGTCGAGGCTGCTTTCAAGGCGCTAGCAGAAAACCTACACTGGCCAAAGTTTGAGAAAGAAGATGTTGGCGATGGGTTCGAAGAAACCAGCGACTTCTTCAGGGTACTAGTGTGGAACCCGAAAGATGACCCTGAAAAGCAAACAAGCTACGTCATGCGATTTGATGAGAAGATCCGCTTCCATAACCAGTTCGGACGCGAAGTATTGGCAAAACTGTTGAGGCTCGACAACCGCGTTGACTGGAAGAACTGCGGGCAAACACAGGCCCAGGAAGAGCAGGATGTTGAAAAGTTCAAAGAAGCGTTCAAGGATTTCGATTTCGCTGCTTGATACCCTTAGTGACTGGCTTACACATCTAAGTGTCGATTAATATGACAATAACCGACATAGACACCGGGGTACATCTGAGCGTTTTACAGCCTTTGTGATAGTAATGGGGTTCTCACGTAACCTCCACTTCGGGATCGACTCATGAGCCAAGTCTCCAAGGCCCGACGTCGCTGCGAACATACTCGAAACGGCAGTTCTGACAGGAAGGTGTCCAACACAGCACTAAAGATTGGCATACCAAGCTCCGGTCTCGCCAGGCTTATTCCCGAGCTGCCGAAATGTCTCATGTTCGTCGACACTCTTTGCGCAACTTTCATTGTATCGAACAGCTTTCACTTCGCAGCATCAGCTCGAGAATCAAAACTCGTATTCCAAGTTTTACGCCATTCAGACAGCACTTCACCATTCTGGGCTTGGCACTTCCTCTTGAGGCTAACGGCTTTCTTCTTCCAGCCAAGACCGTCGCTTGGCCTCACGTGTCAGCTGAGATGGGCTAGCGTCTGGCTCTTCTCGGCGTCTCGGGTACGGAGGGCAGCTGCACCCGGTGTCGAAGAACAGCCGTGCCCACTCTCGCCGGAAAATCTGCCGAGCCCCGCTGAAACTCATTTTCCATCTTCGCGACTGCGCGAGAGGCCCGGGACCGGAGGACGCTCGCTCCGTGGCGCAGTCGAAAAAAACGTTGCAGCGTAAAAGCAGACCGTGCCCGGGCCGTGGCAGCAACATCTAATGTCGAATTGTAGGGAAGCCTGGTACGGACATAGGAGCTTTACTACAAAAACGACATCAATTACCACCTGTGGCATCAATTCGCACATCTAACCTTCCCTTACCACACTTTCCTTCATGTCTGCACGACCGTACCATTTGCGCACCAACAGGCTATCCAGTCCGCTTGGGATCGATGTCTTTCCCGTGGAATTCAGTTGGCAGCTAACAGCTAAGGAAGGCATTCATGATGTCACACAGTCGTCCTATGAACTTCAAGTCTCTACATCTCCAGCCTTTGAATCCGAGAACATCGTTTGGGTCAGCGGGAAGACAGCCACAAGCAAGATTCCATCACTTACAGCCATCTATGGTGGCGACAGTGTGAAGAGTCGCACTCGGTATCATTGGCGCCTCCGCGTATGGGATCAAACCGACCAGCCCAGCGACAAGATCTGGGACACAGCCGAGCAAGCATGGTTCGAAACAGGGCTTCTGGAGCTATCCGACTGGAAAGCGTCCTGGATCAGCGCTCCTGTAATGACATCAACCGGGAATTCAGTAAAAGATGGCAGGGTCATATACCTCTCTAGCATCTTGCAGCTCGCACGAGAGCCAGCCCGAGGACGAGCTTACGCCACGGCTTGCGGATGGTACAAGCTTTTCATCAATGGAAACAACGTCACCGGCACGGCGTTGGTACCACGCTGGACGCCTTTTGATCAGTTCACCGAGTACCAGACTTACAACATTGCGAAGTATCTGGAGGCTGGCAAGAATGTGATCAGCGTCGTTGTTGCGGATGGGCGATTCAAAGGTCAGATCGGCGTCACCGAAGGGCGCTGTCGCTACGGAGACCGGCTTTCTGCGCTCGTACAGCTTGAGGTGGATACAGGTGACGCGAAAACTGTTACATTCTGTACCGACGAGACATGGCGGTGTACAAAAGGCTCCATCGTTCGATCAGACCCCGTGTGGGGTGAACATACCGACTTCCGGATCGCTGACGAGTGGCTGGAGAAATGCGATACTGAGTCTTCGGATCGTGCCGAAAAGGTCCAGGTCTTGACGAAGAAGCTAATTGCAGAAGAGGTCGAACGCGTCGAAGACGTCATGCGCTTGCCACCCAAGACCGTAAATCGTACCCCGTCAGGGGCACAAATAGTCGACTTTGGACAAAACTTTGCCGGCATTATGGGAATCAAGCTCCGCGGGCGGGCGGGCTCCAGAATCACCATGACCTACAGTGAAGTCTTGTCTGGCGACGGAGAGCTTGATATCAAATACCTGAAACTTCCCATAGTTCCGCATATCGTACAACGGGACGTCGTAACCCTTGGAGACAACGAAGCTGAGTTCCAGCCTTGGTTCGCCATCCATGGATTTCGTTACGCCGAAGTTCGAGGCTTGGACTACGATCTTAGCCCCGCTGACGTCCAAGGAATCGTGATCGCTTCCAACATCCCAGCTACAGGATCCTTCACCTGCTCAGACTCCCGCCTAAACAAGCTCTATCAAAACATTGTTTGGACTACCCGAGGCAATTTCACTGACACACCGACTGACTGTCCGACTCGAGAGCGAATGGGTTGGACGGGGGACATCCAAGTCTTCACTCCTATTGCAACCATGCTATTCGACTGTCAGACCTTCTTGCGTCGGTATATGCGTTGTCTAGCTGCGGAACAACTTGCCGATGGCAGCATCCCGTCATACATCCCCAGTGCTGGTTCACAGTTCAGCACCCAGCTTTCACTCACCACGAAGTTGATGTCAGGATCAACTGGATGGGGCGATGCTTCTACAATGGTGCCTTGGGCTCTTTACCAGCACTACAACGATAACGTAATCCTCTCGCGCCAGTACGACAGCATGAAGAGCTGGGTGGATAGCTTGACCCATCGAGCACGAGACAAGATGAGCTGGAGAAGATGGTTCTGGTCCAAACTCGGCGCTGAATGTGGCGACCTCGAGCAGTACATCTTGGACACTGGCTTCAGCTATGGCGAGTGGCTCCGTGTCGGAAGTGGGGTTCCCACGATCATCAAGGACGTCTTGTTTCCCAGCGCCGCTATTTCCACTGCTTACCTCGCACACTCATCTCGTCTGCTCTCCAACATCGCCAAAATTCTTGGCAAAGAGGACGACGCTGAGCATTACCTCAACATCTCGGAAAAGACATGTGAAGCATGGCGCGCTGCTTTTGTCCGACAGAACGGTGCGCGCATCGCATCCGACTACCAAGACGACTACCTCCGCGCCCTAGCCTTCAACCTCATCTTACCAGAGCAAAAGCCCGCAGCTCTCGAACGCCTCGTAGAACTGATGGCGCAAGCTGGCTACCACCTAAAAACCGGCTTCATGAGCACCGGACTGCTCCTCCCCGTACTTGCCCAACATGGCAGAGCAGACATTGCATACCGCGTCCTACTCCAAGACACCGTACCATCCTGGCTCTACCCCATCACAAAAGACGCAACAACGCTATGGGAGACATGGGAAGGCTACGACAGCAAAGGCAACGCGAAGATGTCGCATAATCACTATGCGTTTGGCAGTGTGGCATCGTGGTTGCAGGAGAGTGTGGCGGGGCTGAAGGCTGTTGAGCCTGGGTATAGAAAGATTAGGGTTGAGCCGCTGGTTGGGGGTGGGTTAGAGTATGCTGAGGCGACGCTAGAGACGCCGTTGGGGTTTGCGAAGAGTGCTTGGAGGGTGGATGGGGAGAAGGGGGTGGTGAGGCTTAAGGTTGTGGTTCCGCCTTGTGCGACGGCGGAGGTGGTGTTGGAGGGCGGAAAGGTTGAGACTGCGGGATCTGGCACGTATGTTTTCGAGTATAAAGTGAATTCATAGCGGTCTGGCTCGAGGATAGGGTACTCTGGATACCTACCTAGGTAGGTACTCATTCGGGATCACGTGCATCCGAGTGGTTCCGGCCGCCAAGACAGGGGGCGCAGAACACCGAAACTCAGTAATTCTTTCACCAAACCATCTCAGCTCTTCTGCACCTCCATCCTCACGTTTACTATTCCTTATCACCCATTCGCTCTCCCTCATAACCCCAAAAGGGATAACGCGCCGAACCGCAGGAAGCGCCGGTACGTTGTCGGAGGTTTCATATCGAACCCCAATCAAGATGACGATCATCGCCCATGCCAATGCGCCCCGCCACCTATCACACCCCGCGATAAGAGCACCTGCGATCATCCGTGACTTTGCTTGCTACACAAGTCATCTTACCTCCTTCCAGTCAGGTCTACGCTACTATGCAGGTAGGGCGGCGCCGCGCTCCCTAGTAGGAAGGCAAACCACTCGTTGTGTGTAGCGGGCTCGTAAGCACGGCTGATCAGGTACACATCCCCAATGGGGTGGGTGATGGGCGATGTGTCGGTGACTTGGCCGTTACCTCCACCTGCCTCTTTTGGGGTCGTGAGAAGAGTAGCGCATTGGTATAGTATGCTGTGTGATGCGAAGACGGGGTGAGCGGTGCAAAAGCAAGGGCAAAGGGGTCTGGGAGGCGCGTGGTGCTTATCATTGGAAGAGACGATGTCCGAAGTATAACGCGCCGACTACGGCGAGGGAGAAGTAGAGTATATAACCGCCTGAGAACCTGTGTTGTAACGAAGGACAAGTCAGAGATCATCAAGAAGCTCTACTTCGCAGCATAGCCTCCTCTCTCACAAAAGCAAAGCCGCCACCCTTCTATACCATCACCATGAAGGCCTCCATCTTCGTCGCCGTGGCCTCAGCCGCCCTCGTCTCCGCTGCCCCAACACCAGCCGTTCTCGACGCTCGCGCCCCTCCCAATATTCCCAGCAAGTCCGCTGCTACCACACAGCTCGCCGGTCTCACCGTCGCAGCTCAAGGCCCGCAAACTGGTTACTCCCGTGATCTTTTTCCTCACTGGATTACACAGTCTGGAGCCTGCAACACACGCGAGGAAGTCCTCAAGCGCGACGGCACAAATGTCGTTACTAGCAGTGCATGCGCCGCAACCTCTGGATCGTGGTTCAGCCCCTACGACGGCGCTACATGGACTGCAGCCAGCGACGTCGATATTGACCACATGGTGCCATTGAGCAATGCCTGGAAGGTGCGTTTCCCTCTCCTATCCCCTCATCCTCCCATCCTCCCCTCTCCAAACTCCACATACTGACTCCCACACAGTCCGGCGCAGCATCATGGACCACGGCCCGCCGTCAAGCATTCGCCAACGACCTCACAAACCCTCAGCTCCTCGCCGTAACCGACAACGTCAACCAAGCGAAGGGTGATAAGGGCCCTGAGGAGTGGAAGCC